GTTTCTTTAAAGACAACACTCTTATAATATTTAATTTGACAGGAATTTGGTCACTGGTCATTGTAGCATTTGAGCAGATACTAGGACTAAGTACCTGGACAAGTGCAGTATGTAAATGTACATGTATAATATAGATAATTAACAAACCATGTCAAATAATTTATGTTGTTGTTGCCTCACTGAACATGCTGAATATGACAAATAATACATCAACTGCTGACTTCTTATTGTATTCGTCAATTAATATTCGTATTCATTACCCTATATTCGTAATACGAATCGTATTCGCCTCATAGGTTATTCGTGGCAGCCCTAATATTTATTATACTTATTCTATCTCACACTATGCATTCTTCTTTCGATCCTAAGTGGCAAATGTGCCTAAACAGATGTTTGATAGACATTATTTAGAAGTTGATGGATGACGAAGTAGACACAATTCATATTTTTAAAACTTATCCTTTCTCACACTATCATTTCTCATTCTTATTTCAATTCTGACTGGAAACGTGCCAAAACAAACGTTTTTCAGTTAATTTGGAAATAACTGAATATTTAGGTGTTTAATAAATTGCCAAAGTGAAAATTTTAGCTTTTTCACACATTGACAATAACGTATACATACGACAAAATAAGCAATGCTAAGGTGAATTATTTATTTTGTGTTACAAGTCAAAATAGTGCCGAGCTACAAATAAGCAGCGTATTTGCGTAAACATGGTAAAATATCCCACAAAAATATCCAAAACCCAAATACTTTCATTTAATTTGCATACAGAAATGCATGCATTAAATGAAAAACTCAAATGTATAAAAACAGCACTTGTAAATACCCAATGAAGATTTTTCAGCATGCATACAACGGAGCTAATTTCCGAAACACAATTCTGAGCTAATTCACTTTCCCAGTCAACCCATATACATAGAATAGTTATCGTGGTTATGTACATCTAAAACAAATCTTAAAATGTTCACTATTTGGGGGAAATACCCATTAGTGTGATGAGTAGATGAGTGAAAAAATATTGCTTACCGGTACCAAATGAAAAATGTAATAACCCAATTAAAATAGAAACCCAAGAGTAAAAACTCAATTGCTCAAAAAGTTATCTGGAGCTCTGATAGTGTAAACAAAAATCACACAGTTCCAAGGAAGTGACATCAAACTTCGTCACCATTATCGATGCTACCCCAAAAGATACCTCATTTCCTTATAATTTCCAAGACAAAACTGTATTTCATTTTGTTGTTCAATGTGACGCTACGCTCTAATACTATCAATAAAAGCAACAAATGTGCTTACTGTTGCACAACACAGGTCGCAAACTAGTCAAGAATTCTGGGAAGTTATCCATGTACACACGGGAAAAAACAAAACAATAACAAGGTAAGAACCAGTCCCGGGGAACTGCTGAAGATAATACCCCCTTTAATCATCAAGGTCATTTCATCGTTCTGTAGTCACAATTCAAGTCGAACTATTTTCATTGTATAAACTTTTTTTATCCCTGACTGAATAAAACTGGGATTAGACTATAAGTATATTAGGGACTTACTTTAGACTTTTAAGCAAAAAAGCACAACAAAAATAGCTTCCTTCACGTTAATTACACTGACAATAGAAAGCCATATATGTCACATGGGCTACAGCACACACAACAATGATGATATGTATAGGGCAGTTCAACAATGTTATAAATGTTTGGACTATATTTATCAATCACTAAATCATTTTTGAAGTTGATCAGTGAATAAAATCATAGAAATTCCAGATTCAAATAACCCTATTCAGGGCTCAAGTTAGGGAACTTGATTTAACCTATACCAAGTGCATGTTGACATGAAAGCTAGTAGCACCAGACTTAACCAGGTTGCACCCTGGTCTCATACTATGTGACCTTTATCAAGGTCAAAACACAGATGCATAAGCTACCGGTAGTTTTAATCAGCAAAATCCCAGATCTCTGATGACTGTGTCATATGCAGTGTTTCCAGTTTTTCACCAGTAAAATTAGGCATGGACTAATTTATGACTGCCAGTCCCTGTGGACTTTCCCCTTGTCTATTATCAGTGCAAGGAAATAACATTTTGCTTTGTTTCGAGGTTAAATATATATTTGTACCATTGACTTAGTCTCAAAATACAAGGTGAGGTGAGGTGAAATTGGGTTTAACGTCGCGTCCAAGATTATTGCACTTATATAGCGACGTGCATGCACGTGTATGTGTGTGTGTGGCTGCTTGTACTAGTCCGGACTGATGCCGATTTATAGTGCTAGCTCACTGAGATACCATGCCGCAGTTTAACATGAATACCCTACTCAGACACAGTATACTGACTCCGAGCCGACCAGTCCTTGTTTTAGCCCCTTAATGCCGAGCGCCAGACAGGGTAACAACAAGTACAATCTTTTAACGTCTTTTTGTATGACGCGGCCCGGGATCGAACCCTGGACCTTCCGCTCTCCGGGCGGACGCTCTACCACAAGACCACGGAGGCGGTTCTCAAAATACAAAAAAAGGAGAAAATTGTGACTGTACTTTGTGTGAATGACGCGTAGATCTAACTAAGTTACTTCAGAGATGATGTCATTGAATTGAACATGATGTGAAATTAATTAAAACCAGGTCATTTTCATCTTTTTTCAGTTGTTGAAGTTGGGACTGACAAAGATTTGGGGGGACTGGTAATTTTCGAGTGAAATGCAAGCAGGAACACTGATATAAAATTACACATTACACAGAGATATGTAATACATATATAATATGGATAATATAGCTTTTATTGAATGTGTTCAAAGATTATGTTGTGTGGACAAGAAAGTGTTAGTCACATACAAATTTGAATTGTTTTAGGCATGTACTTGGCGCATGTATCACCAAAATTCAAAAGCTGAAGTCCTGCAGTGGCTGGTGACGAACTGTAATGTGCTGTGTGTATTGTTTCATATCAGGATATTTTCAAGTCAAACATGCCAGCAGTCAGACAGCTTAAACATATAACAAATTCATTTGACTCAACATCTAATCTGTTGACTGTTACCTCTAAATGATAGGGGAATTATTCCATCAATTAGAAATAAAACACCAAAAATAGACTATGAGGAAATAATATTGTGATGATGTTGACATACATCTATGTTTCTGAGTGACAGTTTATAGGACAGCCAGTCCTAGGTCCTCAGTTCTCCCAAATATCAAAATTTCAATAATGCGAGTAAACAGTGATTTTGGCACAAAAAGATGTATATAGGTCAAAGCCTTGGACCCAAGAAATGTAATAAGTCAACGGCAAAAAAATAAATCAACAAAAATGGCAGATGAACGACAACAACAAATCAATGCAACACCATTCGTGATTGGATGAATATATAACATCTGGCCAATAAAATGTTGCTTTAAAAAAAGCTCTTAACTAAGTCACCACAGCTCCTGACAGTGTTTCCCTATGTTACAGAAAGTATGATGCAAAGACATGTGCTGCTCAGAATTTCAATTACAAATTTTGATGGCTGTGCATTGTTTTGTTGTAAGATACTGTAATTGATACTCTAAGTAGACTAATCCTTACTACTTAGTTTTTAATTATGAGAATATGAAACGAGTGACGCCTTGCTTAGCATTTCTATCGGTCAAAAGTCCGACCACTTAAACAAAACAAGGGTCAAATTGAAATTTTACCAGTCTATGACCGGTGACCAAAGGCCATCTGAAACTCTGGTAAACACTATTGTTATGTTTGCTATGATATGTGATATATTAAACTAACTTTCAGCAAAAAAAGCACACTCATGATACACTCAACATCAAGATCAAAGAAAACAAACGATGATACCTTATTAGGATGAACATATTTAAAGTGATGGGATTAACATAATGTACTTAACCATGCTCACCCAAGCTGCTAAAATAGAATGGTGATTTCATTGGTCTATTTGTCCTTTGCTATTCATGGATCTGCGCTAATTAACTGCTGGCTTCCTTTGTTTAGTTTCTACATTTGTTTGTTATCTCATTACATTTGTTGTTTGTACATGTATATGTCCTCTGCATCCTGGCATTCATTCACATGATGAAGGAGTAAGTGAGTGAGTATGGTTTTACGCCGCTTTTAGCAATATTCCAGCAATATCACATTAGGGGACACACATTGTACTCATGTTGGGAATCGAACCCATGTCTTCGGCGTAACAAGAAAACGCTTTAACCACTGTAGGCTACCCGAGCATCCCCAAAGGAGTAAGTAAAGGCTAAACACCAAAATGTTGTGTTCCTCATAAAAGAAGTTGGCATTCATAAATTACCTCTATAAGATAAACAAGCAAACAAAACATTCTTACTGAATTTCATACAACACGTTCAATGTATGAATAATTCGCCCTGTTCTTATGAATATTGTACACAGTGTTGTAACGCCTGTAAAAAGTCAGTAATCCTAATCAGGACTGATCCATTGAAGCAATAGGTCCCTGGCTGGAATCAACACTAAAAGTGGAAAAGTACATCTCTTTGACCATGCTTAAACACTTAAAAAAGCCATGAAAATAGTTGAATTTCGTGGTTGATTTTTTTCATGAATACCAAGGAAACAAATTATCCCTTTCTTTTCCTGCAAAATAAATATCACCCAATGCAAAGGAGCTGGGTTGGTTAGGATAATACATTATACCTACTGTTGGCAATTACCATTTAATTGTAGGCAATGTAGGCCATGGTAGATCTAGTGGCAGAAAGCTAATTACTTAATGATCACAAATTCCCATCAATGTTGAATATGCTGATAAATTATCCAAACACTGCAACCTATGTCGTTTTCACGTCGCACATGAAAATCTATGTCTTCAGGTCCCTGTCATTTATGCTAGATTATGCTTTCATTTCTTGTCAATGTTAATTCTTACTCATGTCATAGGCAAGCTCCGGCGAGTCACACGACATCGGAGATTCCCTTAACAAATTCCCGTTAACTACGCAAATTACGAGTTCTTAATTATACTCACGAATAAGATCTCGGCCTAGCTGTCATTTTGCAGGTATTTGACAGAGGTAAACGTTGGAATGATGATGGGAAATAGTAATACAAGATTATTCACTCGGGTAGAGTCATTTCGAGATCACCATATTGCTCACTGACATTAGACGTAGGGGAAATAACTCTGTATCTTGCACCTCGCGCACCACAAATAAATTGCATGGGATAATTACATGTGTAAATTAATTGCTACATTCCATGCTGTAAAGTAAGTTATACAACATGATATAAACATTCACCATGGAATTAAATACGACAGTCGGATAAATATACGGCTTTCGTTAAACCGTCCAGTGTTATTATTTCACAATATAAATGGAACCAGTCCAGATCTGTTCAATACCAAACAGTCATGGCAAACAATTATAGAACTTTACATGATTTTAAAAGCAGATGTTTTCTTTCATATATAAACAATGGAAAATTATAATATAAGTTAAATAACTATATTCAAACGATCTACATATGACGGCACAACCTCTTAATAATTTAAAATATCCATACAAATAAAATATTTACTTGTCAATAAATTATTATCATGTGTATGATTTTAATTTATTATCACTTTAAAATATACAGTAGTATATTGAAATATATAGTGGTATATGTTCAAGCGTGTATTGAATGAAACAGTGAAATATGACTTCGCACACATCTGACCGAGCGCTAGGGCAAATAAGAGAACTAATTGTCTAAATATCGACTATTTATCGATTTGACGTAAGTTGTTGATAACGGTGGTTGTATCCTGTTCAGCGAAGCCTCATTGTGGAGTTCGCTGTTAGACAGCACTTGGGTTATAAGACTTCACTGGTCTGATCTGTCATCAAGCATTTCTTTGTATAGCTTCAGGTGTGTGCTTTGACCATTGGGTGGCTGTTATCACTGATATACCACGTGTATTATATATGAGTGTATTTAAATAATACGTAGATAGTTAAATATAGTCATGTACCTTTACATTGTGATATTATTGGCCTCGTTCCTAATCTGTGTGGAACTAATTTTGATCTTCGAAACGTTCACATGCATTTAATCAAAGTGTATGCTATTTCAGTGCTTGCTTTATTTGCTTTACCTCAATTGACTTCCAGTATTTGCCAGAGTTGGTTTATCAAACGATTTATAGTGTAGTAGTAATGGTGTGGTGAGGTGAGGTGAGGTGAGGTGAGGTGAGGTGAGGTGAGGTATTGCACTTATACTGAACAAAAAATGTTAGGGAATTTATGTGGAGACATTTTTATGACAGTGTGTGCTCAGTCTTCAATACAAAAATATTCCCCTAAATATTCACGATCCCTAATGTTTTCGGTCAATTTATATAGCAAAGTGTGTTGGCTGCTTGTACTAGCCCGGACTAATGCCGGTTATATAGTGCTTGCTCACTGAGATACCATGCTTCAGTTTAATGGATACTCCACTCGGACACAATTAATATACTGACTCCGAGCCGACCATGCAGTCCTTATTTTATTCCCTTGATGCTGAGCGTTGATCAAGTTAACAAGTCGCATCTTTTAACGTCTTTTGGTACGACGCGGCCGGGGATCGAACTGCCGACCTTCCGCTCTCCCGGCAGACGCTCGATCAACTAGACCTCGGAGGCGGTCACGTTAGGTAGAAATATAGTTGTAGTAGTTGCATACGTGTAATGGTAACAACAGTTGTGATACTTGCTGAAAAAAATGGGAGAGTGTGTGACTGAATCGTAGGGTTATAATTAGGCCGAATACAGGATTTGAACCCAGGGCCCTCGGATCCGGACATGCCTAAGGGACGCAACTCTGCACAGCCAATTGCGGCTCTTTTGACGAATATTTAGTAATCTGGAGTTCTCGAGTTGTAGTAGCAGTAGTAGGAACAGTAGTGTCGGCAGACCCAGTCTAGGTAATTTGGCATCCATCAGCTAGATAATTTGGCATCCATCGTCTTGGTAATTTGGCATCCATTGTCTTGGTAATTTGGCATCCATTGTCTAGATAATTTGTCATCCATTGTCTAGATAATTTGGCATCCAAAGCCTAGGTGATTTTGCATCAAACGTCTAGGTAATTTTGTATCCATCGTCTAGGTAATTTTGTATCCATCGTCTAGGTATTTTGGCATCCAACGTCTAGGTAATTTGGCATCCATCAGCTGGATAATTTGGCATCCAAAGCCTAGGTGATTTTGCATCCAACGTCTAGGTAATTTTGCATCCAACGTCTGGGTAATTCGGCATCCAAAGTCTAGGGAATTTGGCACCCAATGTCTAGGTAATTTGGCATCCAGTGTCTTGGTAATTGGCAGCAATTGTCTTGGTAATTTGGCACCCAATGTCGTGGTAATTTGGCACCTAATGATTTGGTACCTATATATTTACAAACCAGCAGTTGTCCCCCGGATTCATCATCACATACACTTAAGTCAGTTGTACTGTATTGTCTGTAACACTCTGTATTACAAAGAGGTATAGCCCTACATGATAACGTTCAAACAGTTGTACTGCATTGTCTGTAACACTCTGTATTACAAAGAGGTATAGCCCTACATGATAACGTTCAAACAGTTGTACTGCATTGTCTGTAACACTCTGAATTACAAAGAGGTATAGCCCTACATGATAACGTTCAAACAGTTGTACTGCATTGTCTGTAACACTCTGTATTACAAAGAGGTATAGCCCTACATGATGACGTTCAAACAGATGTACTGCATTGTGTGTAACACTCTGAATTACAAAGAGGTATAGCCCTACATGATGACGTTCAAACAGATGTACCAGGTAGCATGTATATTCAAGGTCTGTTTACCCCGTGAACATCCAGGTTAGAATAGTTCTTCGGCAAACCATGCTTGCTCTAAAAGGCGACTATGCTTGTCGTAAGAGGACGACTAACGGGATCGGGTGGTCAGGCTCGCTGACCTAGTGTATGCATGTCATCGTATGCCAATTGCGTAGATCGATGCTCATGACGTCAATCACTGGATTGTCTGGTCCAGGCTCTATTATGTACAGACAGCTGTCATATAACGGATATTTGAGTAGGGTTTCGACATACGTAATGAATTATTGTTTACCTACTTTGATGACCTAGTTTAAACAGTAATCGCGAAATGCCTACATAAATATTTTTCGGAATTGGTAGAGTAATAACACCGGTCACTCGTGCGGGAACCAACTTTAAAAGACTGCCATAGTTCAATATACTTACCTACACAAATACACGTACCGCATTTTTATTTACTGTGTCACAGGAAAGCAAACATATCCAATATGCTTGACTCAGTCATTCAAGTAGTTCTCTATAATGGGAGACCTATTTCGAGAACATCTTTCACACTGTCAAGTATGTGGTTGCGACTCTGAACGTGAGAATACATGTCATTATTTTCTTTAACTCCTAAAGTATAGTTAGTATCTACCTCAATTGATTCATGACATGTCAAAATCAGGAAGTCATGAATTCTATACCGGATTTCTAGGCTTTGTGAGTCGTGTAGCGCTGCAGTCAGCAATATAATTATAACAGCTAGGTTTTACGACGTCCTGTAAATAATTCATTCCGGACCAGACATAAACCAGTGATTGATATAAACAATGTCATACGCCATCGGAATACGATGGAAAGCTATCAATTAATTACCGTCTGACCACATGATCTGCTTACAGTTAGCTGCAAGGGACCAATATTCTAACCCGAAATCCCCATGGGGGTATAACTGGATATTTAAATTCAATTAGCAAGTATTACATTTTACGGTCCTATCATCTTCCCGAGGCAAAGAAGTTAACTGACTTTAAAAATACACTTTCCAGCCTTGCCGAACTTGGCTGGAATTGTAATAAAATGGGTTTTACCTCGTGCATCAAATAACTTGCGCACCTTAATTAAAAACATGACAAGATTCGGAAAATATGTCAACGCCCGACGCTCTGCAAATCCTGCATTCGAACGAATTCGGCACGGCAGTTGCCATGCTATATATGAACCGGATGTCGATTTCGTTACGTTTTTTTTATTTGACTATGCATAGGTGAGGTGAGGTGAAATTGGGTTAACGTCGCGTCCAAGATTATTGCACTTATATAGCGACGTGCATGCACGTGTGTGTGTGTGTGTTTGTGTGGCTGCTTGTACTAGTCCGGACTGATGCCGATTTATAGTGCTAGCTCACTGAGATACCATACTGCAGTTTAACATGAATACCCCACTCAGACACAGTATACTGACTCCGAGCCGACCAGTCCTTGTTTTAGCCCCTTAATGCCGGGCGCCAGACAGGGTAACAACAAGTACCATCTTTTAACGTCTTTTGGTATGACGCGGCCGGGGATCGAACCCCGGACCTTCCGCTCTCCGGGCGGACGCTCTACCAGACTATGCATAGACTCGTTAGTTCATATCTCTGGAAGATGCGGTCATATCTGCAGCGTTCGTGTCTCACTAGGAAAATTGCAAAACAAAATCTTTTTCACTTTACCCGCACTTTAAAGGTTTATTGATATATACTCATTGCAGATTTGTTTTATATGTAATATAAATTTTGTAGTTTAATGTTAGTTTGTCTTTTTGATTAGCTTTGTGTAATCCTCATGACATTACATTTGTCTAAAATATATGGGAGGACCTTTCATTTACCATCCAAAACCTGCTTTCACAGAAAATATCACTTGTTTTTAAGCCGTCACATAGCTGGAATATTGCTGAGTACGGCGTTAAACAACAAACAAACAAACTTGTTTTTTAGATCAAGCGATATCTCCAAGATGTGGCTGCATAACAATGCTTTAAAGACCATTGTGAGGTCATCGTTATCATGACGTCACAATCAAACGACATCACTAAGCTCTCTACCACTGAAGCTGGGTAGCAGTACTTTTTACACTGATAATTACGATTACAAACTGAAAAAGTTGGAAGAATGATTTTGGATGCTAAATAGAATCTCACACTTCTGTCTCTTGATATCAAATATATCAAAGGTTCTAAAGAATGATTTTAGTTGATAAACAGAATCTCACCCTCGTGTCTTTTAATATCAAATATATCAACAGCACGTAACGGGTACCCGATATGTGAGGTGATGTAAAAACCATCCAGTACTCGTAGGCAGCTTG